TAGAAAATAATGTCGTTTCTTCACGTAAGTATTGACTTTATGTTGTTTTTTTTTTTCGAATGGAAAAAACCAAGCAGCGACACTTCAAAGGCATTGTTATTCATTTACGGATCCAATTTTTTTCTTTACAAAACAAAAAAAAGGTACGCAGATGGACTATCTGTAAACAGATCAAGTTTTCATTGCCGATTGCGCATGACTCATGTTGTTCAAATAATACATTTCATTCTTGTCAGAAGATAAGATGAGGGGCAAGGCAAACATAGTAAATCTATTGAAAAGCAAAGACTTCTTTGTTGAGCAATCGAGTTTTCTTGCAACTTTTTTATATGCTCGTCTCTTGTACATTCAAATAAGAGACAAATACTTCCTAAAGAATACATAATAATCTGTCTCTTCTTTCAGATTCTACTAAAATATGTCTGCTATTACGGTATGATATTGAAATTTAATTGTTTGATATTTTTCTGAACGGCTTGTCTAAGCAGACGAATCCACAATTCGCCGAATTTCGTCAATTATTTTCCAAAGCACGTTCAGTATTGGTTTTGACAGGCGCAGGCGTTTCTGCAGAATCCGGTGTTCCAACATTTCGAGGAGCTGGCGGTCTCTGGCGACAATTTAATGTCACAGTTTGTTATTTGAAACAGTGTTTATTCAATGTAATGCTTTTGATTGTTAGGATTTGGCTACGCCGTCAGCTTTTGCTCGATCACCATCACTTGTTTGGGAATTTTATCATTATCGACGAGAACTTATGCGAACTAAAGAACCTAATAAAGTTTCGAGATTCGAAATCTATTTGTCCTATATGATCGATTCTTTTTAGGCTCATTTAGCATTGGCCGAAGCTGAAAAACGTTTTGAAGAAGAAGGAAAACATTTTTTTATTTTAACTCAAAATATTGATGGTCAGTATTTCTTATAAGAATTATATGATCTTTTATATCTTACTTTCTTCCGATTAGGTCTTCATCGACGAGCTGGTTCTCGTAATCTTCTTGAAATACACGGTCAGTAAATATTTGAATCATTCGTTTTTTTTTTTGAATAAAATACTCTTTCATAGGTAATCTTTTCACAACTCGATGTACATCCTGTGGTTTTATTGAAGAAAATAATGATAGTCCAATTTGTGAAGCTCTACGAAATCGAGGGTAAACATTTTTTTCATTCTTTTATTAATCATGATTAAACATTTTTAGATTGCCAAATGAGAATGGTCCTGAGATTGCATTGAAAGATCTTCCTAGTTGTCGTCAATGTCAATCTCTTGTTCGGCCTCATGTCGTTTGGTTTGAAGAATCACTTTGGCCTGACGTTTTGAAAAAAATCGATGAAGAAATCGCTCAATGTGATCTATTCTTAGTTGTATGTCAACATTTTCTTTTCCATTTCATTCGTTTCTATAGAACCTATTGAAGGTGGGAACATCAGCAATTGTCTATCCGGCTGCAGCCTATGCTATGATTGTTGCAACACGTGGTATCCCTGTAGCTGAAGTCAATATTGAAAAGACTCCTTCTACTTCTATCTCAACGTAAGTTCGTTTCCCCTTGTTTAATATTTTGAATGTCTCTTTGTAGTTTTCATTTCGAAGGTCCCGCTGGCGAAATACTTCCAATACTATTGTCACCCGTTACGGATAGTATTTAAAACACATATAGCTAAACATAATAATTAAGATTCAATGTTTTTTTTGTTGTGTGAAAGAATCAGTTAATTTCAATTTAACAATTTATATTTTTCATAAAATAACCGAGAAAAAAAAATAGTGATATCAATGAGGTTTTGTTATGCAACAAGCAAATCAGACTTGAGTGGTAGGTATTGTTATGTATCTTCTCTTAACCTACGCCCCTTTCAAATATGCTGCTGAAAATATCTTGTCTGGATCGAAAACTGTAGATTCAAGTATATTGAGTTCCTCTATTGGTTTGTCAATATGACTCAAAAGATAACATTGAGTCGATCATTTTTATCAAATGGTTTAAAAACGCTGCGATAAACTGTTC